AACCAACCAACCAACCAACAAACAAAAAAACAAACAAACAAACGAACAAACAACATGAAACACAACGAAACATAAACCAACAAAAACAGCAACAAACAAACACACCAACAAACAACGACACAACCTTCACAAACAACACGCAAGCACAAACACAAGCAGGCATGCAAGCAAACAAACAAACAAACAACCAAACAAACAAACAAACACACAAACAAACAAACAAACGAACGAACAAACAACATGAAACACAAAGAAACATAAACCAACAAACACACCAACAAACAAACACACAAACAAACAACGAAACAACCTTCACAAACAACACGCAAACACAAACACAAGCAGGCAAGCAAGCAAGCAAGCAAGCAAACAAACAAACAAACAAACAAACAAACAAACACACAAACAAACAAACAAACAAACAAACAAACCAACCAACCAACTAACCAACCAACCAGACAAACAAACACACACACACACACATAAACAACACACACAAACAAGCAAACAAACAAACAAGCAACAAAAACAAACATACAAACAAACAAACGAACAAACCAACAACCGAACAAACCAACAATCAACAACCACACACGACAACGCACAAACACAAACATCCATACAACACACATACAAACATGTGCATACACAAACTTACATACTTACATACGCACGTGCATACATACGTACAGAAATGTGTACATACACAAGTGCATATACATGCATAGACACATACATGCATATATACACAGACATACATAGGTACATACATGACCATATGGATGGCATGCTTGTTTTGTTGGCTTTCAGCAGCCCGATGAACAAGCAAAGGCACAAATACGCTTGAACTAACAGGTCACTGTCCCTAAGGGCCCAGGGTACCCAAATAGCATATACATTGGCCTTAATGTAGTCCCTATTTGGGTACTTTAGGGCTTATGTTCTACCATATGGGTACATGGAACCTTAGGGTAACAGGTCACTGTGGTATTGCTGGCAAGTCTCTTTTGACCTTTATAAAGGTGCTTAAAATCCCCATAGATGAAAGCACAGACCCTTGAAGCCCACGAAGCCCTTCTTAAAACGTCCATAAACCTGTATTAGAAGAACTGAGCCCCAAATGCCAAAGCCTGACCTTTCTCCCCTAAACCCTAAACCCCTAAACCCTAAATCCCTAAACCCTGAAAGCTTAAACCCTAAACCAAGGTGCCAGGTACCCGGGCCATAGCGGCTCGGAGGGACGCCTGGCGCGCGGCCTCGCGTTCCTCCGCGCCGTGCCTGGGAAAAAACAAGGGGTTTCTGGGACTTCCCTGAACCCTTTAGGGTTCAGGATTTAGGGTTCAGGGTTTAGGGTTCAGGGTTTAGGGTATAGGGTTTAGGGTTTAGGGTTCAGGGTTTAGGGTTTAGGGTTGAGGGGAATTTTGAACCCTTTAAAGGGTTCCATAAAGAGTACTGTAAAGGCAGTTTGGGCGGTTTAGGGTTCCGGGTATAATGGTCCACGTACCTTTTTAGCATATACTTCAGCCTGACGTTCCATGTATATTCTGTACGAGTATGTGAATATGAACCCTTATACCCGTACAACGTGAAAACTTTTTAGCAGGGATGACCCAGACATTTCTTTCAGTCAGTAACACAACCCGTATCCTTAGAACAGAACAAAGAACCCAAACCACTAAAGCCTAAACCCGGAACCCAAATTCTGCACCCCAAACCGGTCAAGGAGCCTGCACTCCCACAGGTGGAGCAACCGTATCTCGAACACCCTGGCCATGGTCGACCTCGATTCGACAAAACGGTAAGGGCTTCCTTAGAAATCGGGGCTTCCGAAAATAAGGGACCCTAATACAGCACCCGAAGTGGTAGCATCCTTATTATAGGGACCCCAAAAGAAGGTACCCCTAATGTTCGGAAGCACCCAAATGGCTCTGACAGGTTTTCATGAAGATTAGGGCTTTGGTTTTGTGACCTAAAAGCTTAGAGCTTTGAGATTTCGGGAGAGCTTGCAGCTAGGGCGTACTTCTACGTCTTTCCCCACATGTTTCCAAGCTGTTCTGACTTCTTGGCCACCTGGGTATGCAACATGGAACCGCGTTGCTACCGAGGACCAAGGTCAAAGTGAGTAGAGGACCGCAGCACAAACGATAATGTCGATAATGACGACGTGTCCATGACGCAGACGCTACGAGTAGTATCGAGGTAGGAAAAGATGTTGCAGCGCAGGAAAGGTTTGACAGGAAATGCTCGGCTGTGGCTCGAAACACGATGGTGACGGTCACATGGCTTCTTTTGTTGCTGCTGCTGCTTCTGCTGTTCGTATCACGACTGTGAAGAAGAATATGCTGCCAGCGACGGCGAGGATGAGGATGATGGCCTTGAGGATGATTACGGAGAGGGAGAAGAAGATGATGACAATGATGATCTAGCCTGACTCTCGGCCTAGCAAGATCCATCAGTGCAGGTTACTTTGGGGGACATTCTGTTAACCAATGAGGCCCCTGCATCCACATCAGCCGCACGTGTTCCCTTTCTCGGTACCTTCAAGGCTTTCGGATCTGGCTTTCAGGGCTTACAGGCACTATAGGCAATGCCTCCAAGGTCTATGTAGCTGTAGCTGTATAGTAGACACACCTCAGCCTAACACCTAGGCCTCCATGGAATTCCTGTCTTAGGATAGTTACATACAGTAGGGAAAAGAAAGGTGCTTAGCCATTGTGTGCAGAAGCTTTGTCAAGTGCTTCCGTTAAATCTTCCCGAGAGGCACAGGATTTCCCATACCAGGCTTCAATGCAGTATAGGTACCGTGCACAGCCTGAATCCTAAACTTCGCTCTCACTTGGAGGTGTCTGGTCTGGACCAACCGATGCCTTGTACTCAGGATACAGGGTTTAGGGTTCCAGGGATTCAACACCCCTAAACCCCTAACCACACCTTCCACCAACAAAGCACAAACAAGCGAATCTAGTCAGGAACGAATTGGGCAAGAACCAAAAAGCATGCGCGGTTCAAGGCCGTGGGCATGCAGGGTTAGGAAGACAAAGTCGAGGGTTTACAGCACTAAACATGTTTCAAGGTCTTACGCCCATTACGGTTTACACAGATCGTAGGTTGAACCTCAACGTCAGAGTGGAGGAAAACACAAGTAGAAGTGTTCGGACGTGGCGACTTTCGGCTCTGTCATGATGATTCTGCCTCTTCAAGAACGAGTCCCTCACCCAGCAGTGGTCGTAACCCATCCAACGAAGAAGCCCAAAGACGTCAACCCCTAAACCCTAAACCCTAAAGGGAGTTGGTGCTCTGTCGGGCTGAAGGCCTTGACAGAGCGAGAAAGCTTGCGTCGTGGCGAAGACTATACTTATAAAAAGAAATCCCACCAACAATAATATAGGTAATTATTGGGTCCCCTACATTACTCAAAGCTTTTAGTCAGCAACCTCCGGCTGGGGCTCTTGGCTGTCAAGTTCATCTCGACGGCTAGGGCAAGGCTTGGACAGCGGGGTGGCTTGAAGGACCCGGAACCATCGATGTCCGGCCCATGGGCCCCTCGAGAAGTTGAGGATCATCTCTACGATCACAAGGGTTGGCTTCAGATGTCCGATATGTGTGATTGCATTTTCAAGTTCCCGCGCCAACCTATGACGCTTTTTGCACAGATGGACGACTCTGATGCCCAAGCTGTTCTGTAGAACTGAAGCCCACTCTGGAGATCGGGGCCAGCATCCGAAGTGACTATCAAGATGGGGAGGGACCGCAGATCTTTGCTTGCTGCCGTCTCTGTGCGTTCGAAGGACAGCAAGCCTTGTCCAGAGCAGAGAACATAGACTTCAGTGTCTGGTTCAAGCCCACGAGCTGCTCGTACGACGGCTGTCGGGTAGCTTTCTTCACGACAGGCCGCAGGCTGCATTATGGTACGTAACTTCAATTAAATTCTTTTACCCTAAGGGTCCATGTAC